AGGCTGCTGCTCCTGCTGTTGCTGCTTTAAAAGAAATCCCCTGTCTGAATTGATATGCTAATTTGATTGAGAAGGTGTGGGTGGATATGGAGAAGGTTTTAAGCTGCTAGGGGGACCGAGAGCGAGAATGACAATGAAAAGGGAGAGGAAAGAGAAAAAGCAAGTGGGTGTAGGAGACATTATAGGGAGAAGAAGAACACTGAAATGAAACAAATGGGAAGGAGTGGGAATAAGAGGCGAGCTTACCAGCTTAGCATTTCAGGGTTAGACAGTTTACAGTCGGTCGGTGAACAACTGTCACTCAGCTAGGCAATAGCAGCAAGCAATACATGTAGGCAGTACCCCTCTACAATTACTTGAAACATTGGCTCCTCTCAGAATCACTTTGTGATTTACATATTCTCTGCACACTTGAATTATCAGCAGATGGCATCGACACAGTGACAGGGCTCCAATAGTAGTTTGTCTTTTAGCAATAACAACTGACTTTAATGTCAAACTTTTCTTCTTAAAAGCTGACAATGGATCTAAAATAATAACATTTCGTTAAAAAGTATTCCTTAAACGAATTAATTTCTAAAACAAAGTCATTTTGTTATTTATAGAGTGTAGATTTTAGGAGAAGGAAACTCAAACCTGCGCTCCACAGGGCTGTGCTCTCAGCTTTGCCTTCTTAGCTGTCTTTCATCAGGACTGCTCTGTTATGCACAAAGCAAACATGGTTTTAAAGTTTGCAGAAATTTCATATCTAACAACAAGGAGCCCGACTACAAAGAAGAGGTCCAGGAGCTGCCAGAGCGGTGCTCCAGGAACAACCTCATCCTGAGCAGTAAAACCACGGAGGTTATACTGAAATACAAGACATCCAGGAAAACATCTATAAAATGTCAAAATAATGTCTGGGACTTGTGGACAGAACATAGGCTACTTTCACACTGCAGCCTGAAGTGACCCAATTCCGATTTTTTTGCCCATATGTGACCTGTATCTGATCTTTTTATGACAGTCTGAACGACACAGATCGGATTTTTTCAAATGCGACCCAGGCCACTTGGATATGTGGTCCTGAATCCGATACGTATCTGATCTTTTCAAATGCGACCTGTGTCTGTACGGCCAGGTCGCATTCATCCGACCTACACGTCATTGATACTTGACAAATGTTACTAAACGTTACTAATCTGCGTCCTACTAAGCGGAGGCGGGAAAAACTAACAACCATGGCGGAAGATAACACAGAGAGCAGTCAATGGAGAGAAAGTGAGGTTGCTGACTTAATTCATATTTGGAAAGATAGCTCGATTCAGACCAAACTCGAAGGGTCTTACCGGAACCGGGGAAGGGTCTTTCTTTTTGATCTTCTTAAAAAGATTTCGTTCGTAATGTGCCTGCTCCTGTTGGAGAAGAACTTAAAGAACGCAATATACGCTGCGGTATTACGAGTCATATTTACTTCCGCAAACACTGAGGACGCTTGCTACATGTGACGTCATTGTGTCCTCGAGTGCGCATGCGGGACACTTCGGTTGAACGCTTTCAGTTCACACAGTAGATCACATAGAAGTCGCATATACTTGGAAGTGTGAACGGACACGCAAAAAAATCCGATTTCACCAAAAAATCGGAATTGAGCATTAAGGCCTGCAGTGTGAACGTAGCCTAAAAGACTTTCATTTAAACAGTTTATTAGAACGAAAAGTCAATGTGGGGGTTTGCTATTAGAAAAAAAAAATCATTTTTTATCTCCTCTAAGAAATTTTCCTTTCTATCTGGTTACTGATTGTACGTATTAAGCAGGGTGTCTCAACAAAAGTTAAACATCCTGGGAATTTAAGGTGTAAACAAGCAGTAGAATAAAGCAAAACGTATTTTCTGCTTTTAATCAAAAACCCTTTGTGCATATTCTCTTACTGAGGGTATACAGGACTGACTGCTGGGTAACTGTCCAGTCAAATGTCTTTATTATGAACATTTTGGCCATTATATGATCTTGGGGTAATATTTGTTATCTTTGCTTTTTTTATTTTGTGCTTTTATTTCCTTTAAAGTTATTTCAGGATAGTGCGCATGTTTGTGTTGTTGATTCTTATGTGATCAATGTCCTGGGTTTAGAACTTTAGAAATTATAGTTGATTTTGATTCCTATATTGGACTATGAATAAGAGGGTTGGAAACAATTTGATTAAACCAGAATAAAAAAAAAGAGTTTGGGATAAATGCTTAGATTGGCTTTTCTGTATACTGCATCAGCATGGTGTTGTTAGCAGGCGGATTCTTGTTTTCAATCTTACATAAATATGGCAGGAATACATTTTAGGTATATTTTCTTTGAAATATGTTTTTTATGTGGTAATTAACATATGTGAAATGCATTATTATTAATGTATTTGAGATGAGTCGATAAAGTCTTGATGTAGGCCTAGATTTCTTGGAAATATCATGCAAGAACCACAGAGCAGTTTGTTCTTTGATCTGCTGAAAGTTCAGACTGAGACCCCATGAATACCTTGTGGATTTACTAAATAGATGTGCAAAACAACCCCTAGTCACTCTAAACACTCTCTAAAAGCAACCCTATACAAAAAAAAACAGGGCTGCAGAGTGTGTGGGCTGCCATTTGTCTGTTAAAGTTTATTATTTCCTAATAAAATACATGCCTTTAGTCCCTGTTATAATCTGACTGTTGTTTTCAGTCCTTCAGGTTTGTGTTTTAAAAAGATTTCTTTGTTTCTTAAACTGTGAAGCTGAAGTTGTTTTAAACAATCCCCTTAGTCCAGTTAAACTGTTTTTTACTTTATATCATTCCAGTTCAATTTAGTTTAGTGTGCTATAATCCAATCTACTAATGCCTACACTGCAATGATCTAGAAATAAGCCTAGTATAGCCCTAATTTGAGCAGGTAAATAAGATTATTTGCTAATATAATTAGATAATATACACTTGAAGTAAGACAATCCTATTGTTTTTTCTTATTCTAAACGTAAATTGTCTTGTTTCATTGGGAAAGTGTCTCACTTACCTTCTCAATTCAATAAAAAAATCTACTTATTTTAAAAAAAATGACGTTAGATGTTAATATGATTTGATTAGGCAATGATTAGATTTCAATTTTTGCAGTGTACATATTTAGATTTTTTGCCAATATCGACATCCAATACTATTGTATATATTCATATCGTATACATTTCTCTACCCTTTCAACACCTTAAAAAAATAGAAAATAAAAATAAAAAGCTACTGCTTCAGTGAAACATCCCGCAATCCTGTCAACTTCCACCCCACTTATGGTATACATTAATGTTGCCCTGGTTTTATTTATTGAATCTTTACTGAGATGTAAAAAGAAAACGTACCAACATTGGTCAATAGGGATGCTTAAGCGGATCAATTAAGCTCAGTCCTAAATAGTGTTATAAAATCAGCTATTACCTAACCCTGCTATTCATTCTTTCTACCTGAACATTTAATGAACGGTATACAACAGAAGACTGGAAAACATCTCTAACAAATCTTTGCATCTTTGTAAGATTTACTTCTTTTTCTTGTCAAGCTGAAATTATTAATTGAAGCTTAAGTAAATACTTTTTCTTATCCACAGAAGAGAGAACTCAAAAATTGCTAGCTCCTCTGTAGTAGCAAGTCACGGAGTGCAGAAGTCGTGCCAGGCCTCTGACAGTCAATCGAGTAGAGAACACAATAACCTGACAGGAGCATGAGGAGATGATTGGGACATGCTGTTACCAGTTTCTTTGGATTGCCCCCATGAAACTAAGAATTTAGTTTTTTCCTTTTCCCTTTCCAGCTTCAGATATATGAAAAAAAAAATCTTTTTGAGTGCAGCTGTGAGTCTGAGAATGAAGGTGACGACAGATAAAGTAGATTCTAGATATTTAATTGTGTTTGTCATGCCAAATCTAAGAGTGCAATTACAATCTGCTTCCTCTATGAGTATTAAGACTGGATGGAAGGATTGGTCTGTATTTGTCTGAGATGTAACTGTTAGGAGCCATGTAGGTGGCCTGCAGGATTGCTAATTACCTCCATCAATGAGGTTATGTTTTTGATCCTGTTTGTTTGTCTAATTGTAGGATTACTTGAAAAGGATTTTAATGATATTTTTACCAGAGGTGTGGCTCATGCCAAAGAACAACCCATTCACCCATTCAATTTAGCCGATGATCCATTTCATACTAATGCAGTAATTTCTTAAAGATTAACTGGTGGAACAAGCAATCCCTCAATACACCAGAGGGTGGCAACAGGGACTAGTCACAGCTTAAGCAGCAGGGTTTGATTCTTGAAGGTGATATTGCTCGTTTTTCCTCTAGTTACAAGATCAAAATGCAACTATAATAAATGTTAGGATGCATATCTTTAGAGCTGATATTTTACCCAGTCCTTTCACTTCTTAAGCCAGGTGAATGTAAGTTTTCCCAACGCTATGGTATTTTTGGCTCTATCTTTATGGGCGGATTGTTGTCCTCCTAAGATGTGCACCTACTTCTATGTCTTATGCTGCCACTACTATGTATGAGCTTTGCACCAAAAGTAAATTTTCTGGTGTCAATTGACCGAAGCACCTCGTTAAGTATGAACAAGCAATCCTCCAATAAACAACAGGGATTATTGACAGCTTAAGCAACAAGGTTTGATTCTTGAAGCGAATATTGCTTGTTTTTCCACCAGTTACAGGATCAAAATCTAACTATATTAAATTTTAGGTAAGTCTCAATTTAAATAAAAAAGATGCATATCTTCAAAGAAAATCAACAAAACATTATTAGATAGCAAATGGAGGCAATGGGCTGCTGAACATACTAATGTATTTGTTACGCACGCACATATTGGCTGATGCCGGAAGGAAGAAAATGGTTATATATCGGCCTTCCGATGTATCAGTGTAACTTCTACTATATAGTAGCCTTGTTCAAACTGACAAGCAGATCACTCAAACTATCCTTTTGTGTGACTAACCAATCTGATCTTCTCTTTTTCTAAGAAACAACCCGATCCAGAGGACGTGCAAAAGACGGTAGTCATCCAGGAACGGAGGCTTCACGTCGGAGTGCACAACGGCTGGTGTTTCCTTGATAAGCCCCAAGTGGTGGTCCTGGAGCCCGTTGCTTCAGGGGTCAGAGGACGAACAGACAGCGCCTCTAAGAAGAGCCTGCTGGTCAAGGACAGGTGAGCAGACGTTACACGTGTCTGTGTCTACAGCAGAGCTGTAACTACAGGCTGCTGCAGCTGTTAAAGCAGAAATCTAATGTCAGGCAAGATGTGCAGGTGTGTAAAAGAAATATTTATTTCTGAGCACTTATTTTTGTGGTATTTCATCAGCTTCTCTGTGCATGACTGTTTTTGCAGATCAGGAAGGGATTGAAAATTCATCCAGGGAAGTCAGCAAAAACGTGTAAAAAAAAAAGCCTGCTAGGCATTAATGTCATTTATTTATAATACTGGTATTATGCTATTTAATGTTATTTCTGGTGTCTCTTTTTGCTCTGGCAAAACAAAAAACTTATATTTAATAGTACATGTTTTTTAAATAAATTCCTTCTATATGAGGATGGACTGGTAAGGTATGTTTTTGGAAATATATTCCTTTTGGACTAAAAGTTATTTTATTGTTGGGATTATGCGTAGGGAAATTAGACCCTTTTAAGTATTAAACTATCACATAGTAGGGTGCAGTTTTTAATGAAAGAAATATTGTACAGGATTTTCACTCTTTTAAAGCCATTATAGCTGAGACTTTTAGTTTAGCTTTGCAAATCTACTGAGCTAAAATCTTTCCCATATTTCAGATTGGATGAAGAGAGTCTGGAATTTTCTTTTCTTTTTTTAGTATTTCCAACAGTTGTTATTCGTTGGCCTAATGTTAGTAAGACATTTTATAGACTGTAATCTTATAATCTAATCATAAAGATATGTTACTCTGTATGCTAGTTGAACTAAAATGAAAAAAAAAAAAAAGATGTAGTGAAATAAGGTCCTGTGATGTTCAATGTAGGAATGTCATCTCTATGACCAGATAAGCAGAAGGAATCAGAGTCTGTCAGAAACACACATTTAAGTAGATTTCGAAACATTGGAACTGAGAACGCACATAACCAGGAGGAGAGGGAGAATGGACGTTAGAGAAAGAAGGTTACTTTTCTGGATTAGTTCAGTCCAGCCTGGGCTCTATCTTGGGGAGGCTGATATTTTACCCACTCCCTCACTGCTTAAGCCAGGTGAATGTTTTTCCCAATGCTATGGTATTTCTGGTTCTATGTTTATGGGTGGATTGTTGTCCTGCTATGTTAACCTACTTATATGTCTTATACTGCCACTACTATACCATACCATACCAACTTTATTTATGAAGTACTTTATGCATCGGACAGGACCAAAGTGCTTTACACAATCATAAAATCAGAGATGGCAAGTACTCACTTTCCATACTTGAGTAAAAGTACAGATACCTGTGTTAAAAAAATACTCTGGTAAAAGTGGAAGTACTGATAAAACTTCTTTACATTTTCTTGCATTTTGTCTTTGGGACCCTCAGAAGCAACTGCTCAGCTGACCTGAGGGAACAGGAGGGTGTGTAAGAATGTAACAGCTCAGACAGATAAGGAGGGGCAAGGCCATTATGATTTTTAAAAACAAATACACTTTTTTTTTTTAAATCGATCCTAAAATGTACTGGCAGCCAGTGTAAGGAAGCTAAAACAGGGGAAATGTGAATTTTCGTGTAGTTGGGAAATATACAAGTCACTGACCCCTGTATAAAGTGAGTTGCAGTAATCCAGCCGTGTGGTCACAAATGCATGGATCACTGTTTCAAAATGTTGTTTATATATTTATGAACTTTGCACCAAAAGTGCATTTTCTGGTGTCAATTGACTGAAGCAGCTTCTTAAGTATATTCAGCTGTTAATGGAACTGCGTGTGTATTTCTTCTTTTCACCTTTAAATATTCTATTTTGTTGAATTGCAGGATTAATAAAGTCCCATTCAGGGCTGTTCAGTGGAGCAGTGGATAGCACTGCTGCCTTGCAGCAAGAAGGTTCAGGGTTTGATTCCCGGCCCGGGGTCTTTCTGCATTGAGTTTGCAAGTTATCCCTGAGCGTTGGTGCGTGAACTATGACTGTTAGGTTAATTGGCTTCTCTAAAATTGTGCTTAGGTGTTAGTGTGTGTGAATGGTTGTTTGTCCTTTTTGTCTCTGTGTTTCCCTGCGATGGACTGGCGACCTGTCTCGCCCGTAGACAGCAGGAGATACGCACCAGCACCCATCGCGACCCCATTAAGCGTGACGGAAAATTGATGGATGGATGGATAATTACCCATTGGAACTTCTCACCCATTCCCCTCCTTCCATGATTAAGGCTTTCAGTGAGACGGATGTAGAATATACAATAAAAGTTCAGAGAGATGTTCAAAGCTTGGGTTATAGTGCTAGAAACCTGCATTAAACTTCTCCACAACTTTCTCCCTCTGAGTCCTTCACAGAGAAGCTAGATTTATAGCAGGAATACATTTAACATGTGGATTCTCATTATTAAGCAGGTGTCATCTGAGGACAGTTGGTTGCAGTGAAATGTAGTCACTAGTTTTATTTAAGGGGATGGAAGACGAATGAGTGTGGCACGTTTCAGGTATCTTTTATGAAAAACATTTTGAAAACCATGTTTAATATTTTCTCCACCTCATGATTAGCTGCTGCTTCATGTTGATTTATTGTCTAGGATGGCAGGAAAATACACAGAAGTTTCAAATTCTATGAAAGAGAAAGAAGACTTTTACAATGGAATAGATGATGCTATTAATGAGATGAATACATTGAGTGGATCAGTGAATTAGAGTAGCAAAACCAGATGCGAGCCTTAAATTCTGTTTGTGATGGTCCAAAAGGGCCGATATAAAAGCCAAGGTGAAGGCAGGGCTTCCCAACAATAACTATAGTATAGATCAGTGCTGTTTGAAAGAGGCTGGTGTAGATTAGCATGAAGTCACATCACTAACAAGTAGTTGTGTTTGCGATCAGGAGCTGAGCACACATTTTATTTCTAGATTGTTCAAACGAACACAATGCTGCTTATTAAGTCAGAAGCTTCTTATATTCCCATTAATCTCTTAAAACATTGCCTCTGTTTAACCAGATTTATCTTGTTGATGCTTTTAATGTTCCTAAATTGAACTATGTTGTTGCGATAGTGGAAACTGTAAAGATTTGTTCAAACAACAGCTTTTAGTGCTGCCTACTGTCAAACCCAGGGATCACTTTCACAGCTATTATTGTAGAGTTTGACAGCCAATAAAAGCGTGCTGTTCCGTCGCTGCGATGCAGGAATGCATTAGTTTTTAAATTTCTGACTTCAGCTAATGAACACCGTTTTCTTCCCCCAAAGAAAACGAGTTGTGAAATCCAATCAGCAGAAGTGTCCCTAAATCCATTGAAATGAAACAAGACTAACTGCAGAAATGTAAGAAATCTTTTAGAGGTCTGCAAACAAACTGCGTGGCTCAGCTCAGATAAGAGGCTTGGCAAATTCTTGTAATGTTTTCTCCTTGCATTCCAAATAAAATTTGCATAAATGAAGAATCCCTCTGTTTACACACTCTCTCCTCCAGCCAGGGTTGCTCATTACCTGCTGCTCCTCCACACAGCAGCTATATCATCTGTGTCAAAGGCGTAATTTAAGATATGTGGTTTATTTCCACTGGTAAATAACACCGCAGTTAGTAGTGAACTCCCATGCTATATATATATTTTTTTTTATTCAGGTAAATGCCTGACCAAATTTGCCATATTAAAGGGAAAAACAGGAGAATATTTATGTAATTCATGTGCAATAATTCCTTGTGTCCACACATTTTTAGCTATTTACTTTGCATTTTAATTCATTATTAAATGCTAAGTATTTTTTTTTTTTTGTGCCACAGCATAACTTTGCACAAAGAAGAGCAATGCCATATTAAAACTGAGCCTTACTTTATTATTTATGTGTAATATGATTAATTCAGCATTAAAACTGCTCAAATAAGAAATCTCATGCTACTGGAAAAAAAATCTTACAGCTTTATAGTTGATTGATTTTTTCCCCTTTTTTTAATAAAGTATGCCAGTCTGTATCGTCCAGCCTTTCACCTACATCAAACAACTATATTAGAAGCACCAATGTTTTCTGATAATTGCATAACAGTTCAAAAAAAATGTGGTGACCTTTGAGTCTTATTGAGACGGCTAAAAGGTCAATGTCAACCTTTTCCAAGCTTTTTTAAGCGGGATGATGTGTTGGAAGCTCATCAATCCGCGTGATGAAAGCAAATCGGACCTCTGTCAGCAGAACAAAAATGAAATTTAAAATCTAATAACTGTTTTAGGTTTAATTTTTTGTTACTTTTTATTTTCTTTTTTAGGTGGTTAGATTTATAACTTTCTTTACAAACGTAAAAAAAAAATAAAAATAGTCCGAGTGTAAATAGCATGTTAGGAATATTTTATGATATCGACAAGATCTCCCCAAAATGTCAAACAAGTTCAGTAAATCTACATGAGAATTCACATAGGACCAATGTTATATAATAGATTTTCATAAGGGGAGAATTTACATGTGTTTCCCACATTGCAGCATTAGAGTTTTCCAAAAGCATTTTGACGTACAACAGAACATATTTCACCATGTTTCCCATAACTCACCTACCATTTAAACACAACAGTTAATCTGCTTAGTGACCTCCTCATTTAGCAAACACTGACTACTCTGATTTCTGCACGTGAAATTAAACATGAAAAAATCATATGGGGTCATGAGTTCACTCATGTGCATGTATGTATCAATGCACATGTGAAATCGCTTACACCAGCCCATCTCTGCTGATATGTTTTGTATTTCATCTCACTCCGTTCAGAGTACAGCAGCTGTCCCCAGGAAGCCACTGTTGCAGCTATGGTGACGGCACAAACCTGATCAGCAGCCTGCAGTTTCAATTAATGAGTTGTGTTGGTGCATCATTGGGCCATTAAACAGCAGGACCGATGTTGATTGAAATTGTTTTTTGATGCTTTATTTTAGAAATATTTTGGAAGACTATTCAAAATGATTTTGTGGTTAAAACAAAAATTTTACCACACTGTTAAAAAATTGAAATCTTATTCAATTTTCCTTAAAAGACATTTTTTTTTCTGGAATTAAGCAAGTAAGTGAGTAAATTTGCCAATGGAATGAGACAATTTACATAAAAAAACAAAACATTAAAGGGATAGTTCGGTATTTTTGACATGAATCTGTATGGCATCCCGATCACAAGCGGCATGCAATCACACTGACTTACCCCTGGCAGCGTCCTGTGAGCAGAGTTATCGTCCAGTTTTGGTCAAGCCGAAAGTAGTCCTGCAGGTTTTTAGGAACAGCGAAATAAAACGTTTCTCCCTCCGCCGCGGAAGGAGACATGGCTGTTGTTGGGCTCGCTGTCTGAATGACGGCGCGCACTGATACGAACAGAGAGAAAATAGGACCAATTGATAACGACGTGTGACTTTTTCAACTACAATGTTTTTGGGATGCGAAAATATCACTCTTTTGGACACATAATGTTTTGGGAAGAGAAACGTTTTATTTCGCTGTACCTAAAAACCTGCAGGACTACTTTCGGCTTGACCAAAACTGGACGATAACTCTGCTCACAGGACGCTGCCAGGGGTAAGTCAGTGTGATTGCATGCCGCTGGTGATCGGGATGCCATACAGATTCATGTCAAAAATACCGAACTATCCCTTTAAATTTTTCTATTTCATGTGAACAATATCTAATTATTTATTTTAAGGTTAAAAATACTCATTCAACTGGTAGATCATTTTATATACCTACTGAAATTAAGGGTTCTTTTAAGGCATTTTTACTTATTTCTAGATATTTTTTGCAGTGCACATTTATTTTTCTGAAAAAGCCATTTTTTCAAATAACTTACATTAAAAAAGTTTTGGTAGAAGCTCTGTTTCAAAGCAGAACTTAAGGTCATCTGATGTTCTACCTACTGTTACAAACAAAGTTTCCAGTTTTTAATGTAATGTCCCATTTTTGTTGTCTTTCATTGCTCTCGGTTTGTCCTTTCTTAATGATCCCCGCTGTGAATGGCATTAGGAAATGTGCTTGGCTGACAGCACTGTCTCCAAAATACCTAATTGCTTGAAACCATAATACTGTTCGCCCACACGCTGTCACTGGACAACCTTACTAGAAACCACTGCATGCACCGAGTGTGTGTTCTGACATTTTTCCACACGTTGCTGTCAGTGTGAGCACTCTTATTTAAGCCGCGGCTGTCAGGGTAATTGGCTGAAATATTTTATGTGGTTTTATGAAATAGTAATGCACAAAGCATTTGTGTGAAGGATGAAATAAATCCATTTAAAAAAGGTGAAGAAAGCTGGAACGGCAAAATTGGCTGTGAGACTCAAAACATGGCACAGAAATTCTGGAAATGGGCGTCCAAATAAAAATGTATTTTTCAAATGAGACCCTGGGAGAAATCGTGATTATGTGTAATTACATGGGTCTTCTGCCATGACATGGAGGTACACACAAGCACGCAACTGTACAGCAAACACATCAAGACGCTTACCCACAATCTGAGCCTGATTACCCATGTTATATGACCACAATAATCATTAACACCATCGCCATAATAACGCATGCTTTGCACTTTTTTTCCTTTTGCTGAGGAGGGAAAAGTCTATTGGAAATATGGTTTGATATACCATTACACTGTAGGCAGTAATTATGGTGTTTGACTCTCACTGGTGCTGTCAGTGATAGCTGACAGTCTGTCTAGCTTGTGTTATGCTGGATGAGTTTAGAAACTAGAGAAAGAAAAGGGGAAAATTGACTCAAGAGACTCTGTGCAAGGAAAGAAGAAAAAGACACTCGGCCCCACCTCGTGACAAGCGAATACTACACAGTATGCTCCCGCCTCTGGTGTATGCAAACTGTGAATGACGAATACGTAGAAAGCTGTTTCATTTCTCACACAGGAGGCTAATGCTTGCCAGGAAATATTTAGTAAGGGATTGTAAATCTCCCAGCGCATTGATTTTGTTTCACTTTTAATAGAAAATACAGATACAGTAGGAGATATATTAAAGCCTTTCACATTTTGGAAAAGCATTGTAATGTTTTTATTACCGCCTTCACATTTTTCACGCCTATATTACACATTGATTTCTCTTTGCTTTCTCTTTAGCTCAGCAACATCGCCGCGTCCTCAGATGCTGGGCCTTCGCAGCAGCTTGGAGATAACACTGGCCAATAATCAGGCTTTGGCAATCGTTTTTCAGCTAGAGTACGTCTTCTCCGCTCCCATAGGCCGAGAGACTATGGTAAGAGGCACAAACATGTATTATAGAGTGGGTTAATCCAGATCATGGCTTTGTATAAACCCCTTCCTGAAGAAAGCATAAGCCAAGAAGTCTTCTTTATAGAAAAGATCCTCACTTGAACGGAAAGAAAAGAAAAATAAATGTCAGACATATTTTGTTCAATGCATGCAAAAAGATATACTCGGACTTTAACAATCCTTTATTCTACCTGTTTGAGTTTGAATTTTAGACGTTTTTGACCAAATAATATCCAGAGAAGCAGTGAACAATTGAAATGAAAAATGGCAGATTAAATGGTTTCTCTATTCATTTTTGACAATCCAGGTAAGAACTTTCTTCCTGCTAAGAACAGCCTGCAGTGACAGCTTATCCATGACATTTGCACCTGTATGGCTTGATTGTCAGGGATTTTTGAAGGATTGACCCTCCTGGCTTTCTGTGAAATACTAAATCTGAATCACTAATGCACTGAGTCAGTTGCACTCAATTTATCCCAATTTCTTGTATCTTTTTATGGAGCTACTCTGCCAGGGGTTCTTGTCAGCACTCTGGCTGTAACCACATATATCTCTACAAATGATTTCACAGGCTGGGTGTACAGGGCCCTCCCCCCGTAATAAGGCCTTTAGCTAGGACAGAGGAACACACAACTCCATACTGTAGAAACCAAAACCATAGGAAGGTGTTTTTGGTTAACGGTAGTGTTGCGCCGATGCCTTTTTTTGGCCCTGATACCAATACTTGTCTGCAGTATTGGCCGATACCGATACCATACCGATACCATCTGTTTGAAATTGATGTCTGAGTGTATATACGAAGAACTGCATTAGGGCTGGGCGATATAGAAAAAAAGCTTATCGATAAAAAAAAATGCATATTGATCGATATCGATAATTATTGAAAACATTTGAAACCATATTTTATGTGCAGCTCTGCCTGGACATTTTATGATCTTGCTAAATGATTTAATTTTAATAAAGAACACAAACACAGACTTCCAATTAAACCTTTATTTAACCAACTTTTTTAACCATAACTGAATTGTTTTAAAGAAAAATAACATAAAAGACCTGAGTTATGTTATTAAATACTGACAAAGAATAAACTAAAGTGACCAGAAAAGTGACGAAAGTAAATATAACAAATAAAAATAAATGGGAAACCCCGTTATTGAATTATCGCCCAGCCCTAAACTGTATACTACTTGGATGTAAAATAATTGCCATCATGGCTTTCTCAAGCTGATGCCTACCTTTGTATAGTAGGAAAAAGACTAATACAAAGTGAATCCTGTAGAACTTTTATTGCCTACCTGGAATGAGTGACAATAGTTGAATAAACTTTTGGCTCTCAAAATGGTATCGGTGCCCTCTTTGTTGGTACTTGGTGATACCGATACCACCATTTTAGTGCTGGATCGGGGCCCCGCCTGATACTGGTAGCGGTATCGGTGCAACACTAGTTAATAATGTTCCTAACCTTGTCAAAAAGGCGTGAATTGATGAGGAGAAAAGGAAAAAGGTTATGGCATTAGTTTAAGAGGAGCTATTACTTTATTTATAAAGGTGTAAACTTAGTTGATCACTTTACAGATTTTGGATTTATGTACATGATTCCGTTTGACTGCACTAACCAAGACATTCATAAAGGCTACAGTTAGTGAGACAATGTTGAGCTTTGCTCAGAACATAATTTTTACAGAACAAAAAAAAATTATAATTTCTGCTCTCTTTAGATATGCTGGTGGAGGTTGTCACTCATCCAGATCATAGTCATTAAAAAAAAAGTTAAAAGATAATCCACTGGACTTTGTTTCCAAGTTTGAAGACGTTTTGCTTCCCATACAGGAAGCTTTTTCAATTTAGAATCTCAGAAATAGTGTTGAGTTTGATGTTTTATACAGTAACCCAATAAAGCCTTGTTTTTGTTTAGAAAAGGGGTGAAGGGTTGGAAGTGTTAGTCTGTTTCAATTTGCTGAATTGTGAATTGCTGAGAATGCAACAGTCTTTTGTTTGCCTTCAAACTGAAGTAAGGCTTCTTGCATTTTATATACATTAGCAATTTTTTTTCTTTATTGTTAGATTAAGCTAAGGTTCCTTCATTTTTTTTTTGGAAGAAAATGTCTACCTCTCTATAGTCATAGCTGACCAAAACTTTGACAAAACTCTTACTTGAACAAGTCTGGGTAGAGAAAGTCCAAACCAAAGCTGTACCTCACAACAGCAGTCCCAAGCTTTAGAAATTACTGAAAAAGACAGGTAATTATGTGTGTGGGTGTGTTGGTGAGCCCTGAACACTTTACACATGCCAAGGCTGAGCTCCTACTGTTTTACTGAGTACAGTCCTGTATAAAATCAGGGTCAACAGAACAGCAATTATCAGCAGCAGAAAAACAAGCAGTCACAATGTCACTTGGATGACATGGTACATCTACATTAATGTAATATCTCATCCCGTTTTTACCATAACAACCTGTTAAAGGGAAAAATAATGGACAGTTTTGCATATATTCATTTATTTTTTACTTGTTTCACCATATTAAAGATATTATTCAGTGAACTTGTTGACACAGCATATAAGGATTTGGATGAAAGGGAGATAGTTATACAGCACATACTCATTTATGCTAGAGCTAGACAAAAAAAAACCAGTTTGAGTTACGAAGTGACTTAGCTGATTTTATTGATTATTTGAAACATTTATTTCAAGCTATTCACACATCCAGGGCCTGCATGATCCCAAATTCGCATGTATTTTTCCTGCATAAAACCTAAACAGACAATTATATTGAATTCTATGGGAGAACACAAGCCCCACAATTAGCGTTTTTATCCCACTCTTACCAGGTGTTTAATATACAAATATTCTCTGGGTTGTGTCCAAATGCAACTAAGTGCAGCGTTAGTTTTTTCTCATACAAAGAACCTGATGTTGACCGAAGAATGAAGTAGAGGAGGATACAGATATCTGATCCTAAACCTACAGCAGTCCATCAGTGTTAAAAGCTGATCAAAAGGTTCCATAATCTCTGATTTTGTTTGATTTTTAAATATATTTTTTTCACCTTGCACTGGACAATTCTCATTAGCTTTGCAGTGGGTGTTTATGATCCTCATGGTTCAATGAGCATAAACTGCTAACATTTTAGGCTCCTTATGCTATCAAATTGCCACAAATGCAATTCAATATAAAGCATAGGTATGCCTTCAAAGTTGTTTTTTATTATTCGTCAAGTTCTTGTAAAGTTAATCCAAGTTTAGAAATCCTAGTGTAACTGTTAGAACAATCCAGTTGCTATCTAGATCATCTCAGAATAGCAACAGATCTTCACCCACTCTCTACTCCGACACCATCACCTTCTCTACCATTAAATATTGAATGTTTGATGAAATGAGAGATATTAAGAAAATGGAGAATAATCTTTGTCTATTTTTGGGGATGCTGTGTGGGTGTTCTTCGTGCGTGATACATCAGAATGTTTTTCCTTTTCCTGATGAGGATTTTTTTAATGATATCTCTTAAACAACAGAAATGCAGCTATCAGCTCCATCTCACAGTAAAGAATCCTGTATGATATTATCAACTGATGGGTACAGCTTCATACTCTGTGACTGGCAACCAAGAAGACTAGGATGAGTCTGTATACTTCTGCATGCAGTGTCTCAGCTGTCAGGGATGCATCACTTGAAAACGGTTGAAGTGATACTGAGTAAAGGTGCACCTTCAGTGAAGTCAGGCGTGCACTGCCAAAAAGATTTTAGACCTTTTCATGTCAACGAACATGAATGATTATGCTGGATTGGTATCAAAAACTTTCCTAAGACTTTTTCAACCTTTTAGAGTATTTCTAAATTCAAACAGGGATGAGTTAGAAATCAAAGCAGCACAAAGGTGGCATTGACTTTCTTATTCAGTGTTTTAAAAAGTTGCAACAATTCGGAAAAAGATCTTTGATTTTGATCTTGTAGTACAGTGTTTTTTCAACAAAAAACTTCTGCTAAAAACATTGTTGTAGTGCTGTATTTTTTTAGTTACTTATATTTTTTGAATTATTTCTAGGTTTTCAAAGGAATTAATGTAATCCAGGAGACCTAATGTTTCTTTGTTTGATGACCAGGGGATTGGAGATGGAAAGCTGTGGAAAGTAGGGTTGTCATAAGTATCAATACTAATCTCGTATGGTATTCACACTAAATACAAGTGTTGTTTACATATCTTTTGTTATAGTTAGTTTTAGATTTTAGGGTTATTTGTTTTAGAAATTAATTTCTCTAACATCTGTGCTTTAGTGGAGAAAGTATGTTTCATGGTGAGACTGAAAAAAGGTGAGCTTTTCCTAATTATTCGTTTTCATGCTTTTGAAATTGTTTTTTTTTTATATATAGAATATTTTCTCAAATATCAATATTGAGTTTGAAATGGTAGTATTTATTTATTTATTTATTTTTAAAAGGACTCCAAAATCAGAAAGGTTAGAGGTCAGCAGTCTACTTGACAAAGCTAAAGTACTGTGAAGCTAAAGACCACAGTACATGCAAGAATGTATTTACTTTTTTTTAGCCAAATCAGCTTTCAACACATCACCAATATGCTGCATTTCCTGTCAAAACAGAAAAAAACCCCAACTAAATTACGCAGGTTAGATTATTATGATGTAATGACATCTATAGAGGTCTCAAAAACTTATCTCCTCAAAGATGCTTTGTCTGGAGTTCTGCCCAACATCAAGAAAATTGCTGCACTGCTCTCTTTGATATAGAAGATGAGGTAAATCTTTCCTACATGCATTGAAAGGTTTTGGTCTAAATATCAAAGTTGTTAGTCATATATGAAATAGGAAAAACCCAGAGTTTATTAGAAACCTGTTCCCAGAACCAGGCTTAAAACAAGTTGTAACTGCATTTTTATGCTAACGAGCTCAGCTCAACTTTATTTATAAAGCCCTTTAAAATAACCACAGCTGCCTCAAAGTGCTGTACATACCATAGAAATAAAAAAGG